ATGAATACTTTAAATCATGTAACTAATTTTCTTCTTGCAGGTATAATTACTCAACATCTTAGTAAAGTGACAGAATATTTCTTTCCTTAATTATGTTAACATATAATATACCACTGGAGGATAAACACCAAAATAAATATCTAAAATAGCTGTGACTTAGATCAAGAGAACAGTTATATGTTTTACTATGACAATCATGATACTGACAAATAGCCCTCAATTTATAGGATAACTTTGTGACAATGATCAATTTAAAAATTTTACAGAGTATGTACCCAGATGAATATAAAATAAAAAATTATGTATTCTGTTTAAATATACATTGACACAGTTCTAGTTCAGTCTCTCAATTCCTAGTGGTCTTTTTGTTGACAGTCTTGTCATACACATTTTACTTCAATTTGTAAGAGTTAATATTATTCAACAGGGAGATGTTTGATGGTTTATTTTTAAATTGTTAATGGTAATTACCTGTATTAGATAACAGCATAAGACCTAATCCATTAGTCCTTCCAATTTGTTTGTAAGAGCATTTTTTTGAGGTTCTAGGAGTTCATAATACTTGTACCAAAATCATGAGTAACAGTCATGATTCATATTTAGAATAAAATCAGAAATAATGTTTTCTCAGCCCGAAGTCAATTTAACCAATGCCATCCTGCAACCCTGCATGACTACAGCAGCAGGAGTTGGCAAATTTCTATACAGGACCACAGAGTAAATATTTTATGCTCTATATTGTGGGACTCTATAATCTGCCACAACCACTCAAATCTGCTAGTATAGTGGGAAAGCAAACAGACAACAAATGGGCATGGCTGTGTTCTAATATAAAAATGTACAAAAAACAAGCATATAGGCCAAAATTTTCTGACCCCTAGTCTTGACTAAAACAAAACACCAATGCAAAAAGAACTACATTTTTTTCATGAAGCCCTCCCAGGATGGCAGAGGGGAGTAATCAAATATTTGTATTTCAAAGAGTTTCTCTGTGAAGCTACTGTAAAGTTAAGTAACAGTACAGAAAAGAATTTGGCAAAGTACTGATGTCAAAAAACTACTTGGATCACTTAAAATCTGGATAATCCAACCACAATGATTAAAATTCTGCTACCCATAATTTTGTACCTTAGAATAGGGTTTCTCCAACCTTAGCACTATTGACACACTGAACCAGGTAATTCTTTGTTGTAGGGGGCTGTCCTGTGCATCACAGGGTGTTTAAATGCATTCCTGTCCCCTATCTAGTAGATGTTAAGAGTACTCCCCAATTATGAAAACCCTAAAGGTCTCAAGACACTATCAAATGTTCCCTGGGGGTGCAAAAATCACCCCAGTTGAAAACCACAGCCTAGGAACAATGTTTGCACTTTGGTCTATCTTTAAAATCTGTATTTTTTAATGTTTATATCCATAGGGTATCCAACTTTTGCATTTAACGTCAGTTCAAATATTTTACATATTACTACCCAATGACTGTTTTATTTGCTCACCTGACATGTCATATAATGTGGTATTATAAAACCATAATTTCTCCATTGCTACTGGGCATCTATATTATTTGCAATATAGCTATTAAAAAACATTTGGCATTACTTCCTTAGGACATATTCCTCAAATTAAAATACTCACTTATCAATGCACTGGGCCAGTGACTATTATAAATGACCCTTGATACATGATTCTAATCTAGAATCACTTTCCAAAAGGGCGGCAACCATACCACTAGCCTTTGTGACTCTTAGTTTTGCTGTATCCTTACTAGATGAGCTCATTTACTGGGCAAATACATGCCTTGCTGCTGTCTCCAATTAGTACTGAGGCTATTTGTACATACATTATACTTTATTTCTCAAAAAGGTGAAATTACCACAATTTTATTCCAACAGCTAAATTACAAAATTATCCATTTTATAATAGAGGAAAAAAAGTTCCTGAAACAAAATCTACTCTAAGCAATTTCTATCTGGGCGTTGGTTTTTAACAGTGGCTAGCTTTTCTAATATTTACATTGGCATCAAATTTCAGCATTTTTTGAGAATGGGTGATCAGAGAGGTGATTCTAGGATGTATTGTGAAGGAAAGTGATGTTTATGCTACACAGCTTATCTTATTCTAAATGATCAAAAGTAAAGAACAAGAATATGGCCCAAATATGAAAAAGAACAAATTTACAATATAAGCCTTGTTACATTAGAAGATTTCAAAAGTTTAAGGAGAGAATTACAAGTACTTCATAATAATCTTCAATGCTTACATTTTTCTTTTTTTACCCAAATTTAGTCGGATTTTAGCAACTTTGGGATATAAACCAGCACAGATGACAGCTTTAATTATCTTCTCATTATCTA